ACTCCATCATCATGTGTTGAGGGTGCTGAGGTCTGTTGTGCTTCTTCGAGATTTTATTTGAAATGGGTATACATGTGAAGAGGATCTTGGAGTTTGGGAAGGTTTTGTTGGCTGTGGCGATTAATTTCTGGGCTTGGTTAAAGGAGGTCTTTGGTATCTGATCACGGTTGTTGAGGCCTACATGAAGAATAATGGTAGTAGGTTTGGGATCATGGTCGTATGATTCCAGGATTGACTGTATGTGATGGATTTGGGCACCGGGGTAAGAATGTATTTCGGTGTCTGAACTGGTTTTGGTAATTCGATTCAGGTTAGATGATCCAATTATTAAGGTTGATTTCTTTAGAGCAGGTAGTTTCCATAATGATTTGTCCTTGGTTTGGTGATAATACGGTTTGGTAGCGGATATAATGGTCGTCGACGGTGTGATTGGTACTGGTTTGGTAGTTGTTAGAATTGTAGCATTGGGAACGGACTGGGATCTGGTTCGAGGAGGGGAAGGTCTGGATACAGGTCTCGACTTGGATGGAGACTGAGGGGTGGTTTGCTGGTCCAAAAACGCACCGAAGGAAGAAAGGTTGGCGGATCCTGGATCACGTGGTGAAGATTCAGATGGTGTGGAAGGGGAAGACGAGTCTGAAAGTGAAAAGAGAAGGGGTGTGCCCTCTCTACGAGAGCGTTTACCTATGTCTGCTGGACTAGGGGTAGGTGAACTTCGGGCTCGTTTAGGGGTTTGGTTCGGCAGCGTGGTAGCTCTAGATGGTGCAGGTGTAGTGTCCATTTCAGTTGGTAGAGATATTGTTACTCTGGTTTTTGTTTCGTTGATTGTTTGGTAGAATTTGGAAATTACAGCTTGAGTGAGACGTTTCCCATAGGAGCGACGGGCCCAGGACAGGGCATGAGAAACGATGCGGTCGACGGCAGGTGATGACAAAGACTTGGTACGAATGGTGGTCAGCTTCTCTTGAAGTGTGGTTTGGTAATGGTCGATCAGGACCTGCGTAACCTTACAGAGCCATGTCCGATTGAGGGATCTAATATTCGCGTCGACAGCTGATGTTTTCATTGCTGGACGGATAAAACTATCCAACTC